GGAAAAGGGGGGGGGGGGGGAGGTGGTTGGCGGGAGGTCGGCTAGAGTCAGTGAGAACAATGGTCAAAAATTACATAAACAGAGGACTTTGATCGAACAAGCTTTAGTAGATCGAAAGGTTCTCTATAGTTCGGGCGTAATGGGAACGACGACGTCAAGGGATATCGAAATAAAGAAGATAGATGAAGAGAAAGAACAGACAGACAGACAGACAGACAGACAGACAGACAGACAGACAGACAGACAGACAGACAGACAGACAGACAGACATATGGAAAAAATAAAGTTCCTGAACAAAAGGAAAAGAAAAAAGACTTGACGGAAAACACCAAACAGACAGGCTAATGAATAGAAAAAGAGACAGATTAGCAGACAGACAGACAGGCAGACGGACAGATGCTCTAACTAAGCCTCTACTTTTCACTCTGTATCACAGAACAAGCAGATCAAGTAGGCTTTATGGCGATCAATGAGAGCAATAAACCCAGATAAGGTCCCAAATGACAGCTGCCCTCATATGGAAAGAACATGAAAGACACTGATAAACCCAAACACTCATGCAACAAGTGTAATCAACCGTGTTATCGTGCTCTTGTTTTCTGAATCTACACCTTGACCTTGATAATGAGTCTGATTATTGTAATTACGCTACGAGAAATCACCTCGTGCACTGCGTTGCATGCATTCGCACACCCTTCTAGTCTATCAAAAAGTTGTCTTGTCATTTACTTTCAGCTTATCTCGGGGGGGAAATAATTATGAACCGGAGTTCTGCGCTATGCGATTGATGAAAATAAAACAAAATATAAAAACCTTGCCTTAATTACTGTAAGGTACACAACTACTGCTAGTTTATATTACAAATATTTTTAGTGTTATCAAATTCCCGAATAATATCATCTTTGGGTTTCTAAGGTGTAAGGTTCATTAAAATTAAAGTTAGCTCCATTGCTACATGATTTTAATAGAGGCGAATGCGATATAATATAATATATGCCCTCATCTGTTTCAAGCACGTACGTATTGACAAAAAGGTAGGCGTCATGGAAGGTCATGCTGAGTCTCAATATGCCTGTTCCCCTGGTGCTTTGTTTTTGTTTTAGTAGAGGTTTTAAGGCGCTCGCAAATGCATAAGGTCATACGAGCGCCAAGGGGTGGATGTCAACAGAGAAGTCCTTACGGGGAATCAGGCTTACCCTGCATACCTCTCAAGCTTCAACAGCACAAAGTCTGCTTTGACTATCAAGGCATACCGGAAATAGCATTTCACAAGAGTGTGACAAACATACAAAAGAAGTAGATCAAGAGGGAAAATGACGATAGTAAGGATTATGAAAGAAAAGGCAGCAGTTAGCTGTTGCAGTTCAGGCACACTTTTGAGCTTGACATTGATGAATCAGTCCATTTACAATTACAATTCTACTGTGCATATGAAAATGGTTAATGTCCTCCCTTTGGGAATGGCCTAAAGTCACTTCAGTCAGAAGCACCGCCCCCGGGGGAGGGGGGGAGTGCCCCTTGTGCACGCCGTCAATTGTTTACACTCAGAACTAAAATATACGAACGTCCGGCAAATACATCTTATCTACATGTGTATAATCAAACTGCATCGATCATTTTTATTTCTGTTCATTCTGGTGTTACTTTTGTGCAAATAGGCTTCATAACAGTGAAGTTATAGTTTTTTTTTCTGTTTGTTTTTAAAAATAATTTTGG